CCCCTGAGCCTGCTTGGTCGGGTATTCTGTGTTGTTGTTGGCAGAGCTCTCTGCTATACGTCCACCCGATCCGCCATCTTGTTTGTTCTTGCTCTTTAACGCTTTAAAGAGGTCTTTGGTGTCAGATTGACCCAATGTGTTAAGTCGTTGGCTTTCCTGACTGCTGCTTCTATGAGCATTGATTGTAGATCCAAGTCAGGTGAAACACTTGTCAACGTCTACCTGTTCTCCGTTCATCATGATGTTGTGTGTGGTTTTCTTTACCTTGAGGTGTAATTCATACTTTGATCTTTATCAGCAAGTGCCTCAAGTTCCCTGGCTTCCAGCAAGCAAGGTTTTTGTCCTCTGTGCCTCACGGGTTGTTAATGAGTCGTCCTCCAATCCTGATGCCGCCTTGTTATTCACACAGCCCAGTTTCTGAATTTGTGCAGCATATAAATTGAATAAGTCGGGTGAAAATATCTTACCCTGACACATACCTTTCCTGATTGTAACCCACCCAGTGTCCCCTTGTTGTGTTTGACAGGCTACCTCTTGGTCCATGTACAGGTTCCATCTGAGCACAGTGGAAAGTTCTGAGCTTTCCATTCTTTGTGAAGTTGTCCATAGCTTGTCATGCTCTGCACAGTGCAGTGCTGTTGTGTAGTCAAGAAAACAGCTATACATCTTTCTTGTGTTCTCGGCTTTCAGCAAAGGTCCAGCTGACATCAGCAATGGTATCCCACGTCCCACATCCTTTTTTGGAGTTCTGGGTTAATGAGCTGGACTATAAAGTCAGTTTTGAACTGCAAGGTCAGCAGTTCAAGCTCACCAGCCGCTCCTCGGAAACCCAATACAGGGTCACTATGAGTCAATGACACTTAACAACAACAACAACAACATCCTTTTCTGAATCCAGTTTGAATTTCTGGAAGTTTCCTGCCGATAGGCTGCTGCAGCCATTTTTGAATTGACTTCAGTAAAATGTTATTTGTGGGTGACATTAATGACACTGTTCAGTAGTTTCCAGATTCTGTAGGGTCACCTTTCTTTGGAATGGGCAGTCAGTTGGCCACATAGCTGTCTTCCAGATGTCTAGGCCTAGTTGGGTCAGTGCCTCCAGTGCTGCCAGTTTGTTGGAACATCTCAATCGCGTCTGGTGCAGCTTGGGTGCCCCGATGGTATATGGGTAAAACTACCTTCTGATTCTGAAGCTCACATTTGGTGTGCAGGATATTTTCCAGGTATTCCTCTGTCTTGGGGTTCTCTAGAGAAACAGAACCACGGACTATGTTTGCATTGATTAATGTCAAGATGTTGACTTACACAGTGGCGAGGGCCGGCACGTTCAAAATCTGTGGGTCTGGTAACAGGCTGGAGACTTGTGCGGGTTCCTAGCATTGTCAGGGCTGGGTAGCTGTCAAGATCCATGAGTGCAAAGTGAAGAGAGAGCAAGTTCTCACCCCCAGGAAACTGCCCCTTCAACTGCTTCATTACAGCATGTTTGATGACGTTGTGAAAGATCCTTGCGTTACCCAGACCACATGACATCCATCCCTGGGGTAACGCTGTAGGACAAGCTTTGGACTGCTCACCACACAGCTGGCAGTTGAAGCCCACCAGCCACTCTCAGGAATCCTATTCAGGATCACTGTGGGTCACAAGCAACTCGCCAGCTTACAGTAGCCAACAGCACACTACATGATGTAGCCTTACGGAAAGTTACTCCAGTATGTGACATTACAGTGTTGTGACTGTCAGGTCGGTTCTGATGCACAGTGACCCTGTACTCAACAGAACAGAGCAGGGCCGGGTCCTGAGCTGTCTGTGCAGTTGTTGTGCTTGACCCCATTTTGGTCCCCACTGTGGCAGGCCACTGCGTATGGGGTCGTCCTCTTCTTTGCTGACCCTCCACGTTTGCAATCATGATGTTCCCTCTGATACTATGTCCCAGGTAGGAGACATGAAGGCTTGCTATCCTGTCTTCTAAGGAGCATTCTGGCTATACTTCTTCTAAGAAAAATTTGTTTTTTTGACAGTCCGTGGTACTATCAATATTCTTCAGCAGTACCATAAGTCAAAAGGAGCTCTGGTAATGTAGTGGTTACAAGTTGGGCTGCTGTTCATACGGTCAGCAGTTCAAAACTACCAGCAGTTCCACCGTAGAAAGATGAGCCTTTCTGCTCCCATAAAGACTTACAGCCTCAGAAACCCTATACAGGGTTGCTATGAATAGGAACTGATTCCATAACGCATAAACCACCACCATGACAAATGAAGTCTGGCCATCCTGGCTTCAAAGGAGCATTCTGGCTGTACTTCTTCCAAGACAGATTTGTTGTTCTGACAGTCGGTGGTACTTTCAATGTTCTTCAGCAGTACCATACTTCAGATGCATTGGTTCTTCTCCGATCTTCCTTATTCATTGTCCAACTTCCACGTGCACATGTGATTGCTAGGGTCACGGGTACCTTAGTCCTCAAACTGTCTTTGCTCTTGAACGCTTGAAAGAGGTCTATGCAGCAGATTTGCCTAATGAAGTACGTCATTTGAGTTCTTGACTGCTGCTTCCGAGAGTGTTGATAACCTTTCCTCTGTTTGTCATGATACTATTTATTGGTCCGGTTTTGAGATTTTTATTTTGCTGTGGTCTTTGATCTTCATCAGTAAGTATTTCAAGTCTGCTCGCTTCCAGCAAGCAAAGGTCATATCATCTGCATAAGACAAGTTATTAATAAGTCTTCTTCCAATTCTGATGCCACATTCTTCTTCAAATAATCAGCTTTTTGAACTATTTGCTTAGCACACAGAGTGAATAAGTATGGAGAAAAGGTACAATCCTAACACACACCTTAGCTGATTCTAAACCATTCACTGTCCCCGTGTTCTGCTGGAACGACTGCCTCTTAGTGAGTCCAGGCTCCTCAGGAGCATGATGAAGTGTTCTGGAAACATTACGTTATGGAGGATGATTACACAGCAGTACATTTTGGGAGGGTCATTGCATCCCATCGCATCGCGTCCCACTACGTGAGGTCACTGGAAGGTCATTCCATCCCATCACATTGCATCCCACTACGT